CCAATATCTTTCATATAGGCCTGAGGTCATATAGGTCATATAGGCGTCTGAGAATACTATTGTATAGGGAAACACGTGTCCCGATTTTGTAAAGTTTCAAGAGGAAATCTGACATTAAAGTGTGTTCTTTGAATATGTTAGTAGTGGATTTTCATCAAGTATCGGTCAATTCTATCAAATTTCTAAATTTGCAAACAAGAATAATTTCAGTTTGAAACCAGTAGTTGGAGAACAAATATAAAAAAACAAAATTATGTTTAAATGGTCATACTAATACGAGTGAGACTTCTAGAACACTAAATTTAGAAAATTGAAACAAATGAGTAGATAATAATTCATTACTCAACACCTTGGAAACAGTCACAGTTGACCCAATACATCACTAAACATCTTTGAGGTCGAGGTCACGCATGAGCAAATTCGTTACTTTAGAATTTTCGTTCGCAAGTAAGCCTTGAAAACTCAACTACTTCAAAATTGTTCTTAAACGTCATATTTAATCATCGAATTAACAGTTCGTTTAAAAAAATATGGTTTTCAGTAAAAAAACATGGATTGAAAAAGTGAAAACGATTGTATCTAACCATCAATTTGGAATGTGGGAAAAATTTATAATTTTCAAAAGCTCGTCACTCAAGTGATCCTCTGTCATCAAATAATCTATTTTTTAATCACTCAATTTTATAACTATTTGAATAAAATAACCTATATAGAAAATATTTCTGAATGCTTTTTTTAGGTTGTTTCTTGTTATGAAAATTAATGACATTATTCTCATTCGGGATATCCTCCACAAATGAATGTTACTTTGAAATCGGACATGGTTATTTCTTATTCCGATGGATATTTGATGCTCGCATTTAGCTGTTATCATCAAACTTCATTCTCGCAAATAATGGTCACATTTTCTGCTTGTTGATATTACGTAAATTGGATTCAATTACATTAACTTTTCAAAACGAATGTAGAGTCATTTGGTCTCTACTAATTTGATTCAATCTTAAACCTTTTTTAATTTTGTGGCAAGATTTGACCATTTTATTGGAAAAGTCTAGTAAAGTAAAACAGGTATACCTATGGGACATCAAATAAGAGCAGCATATACGGACAGAATAATATTAAGTCCATCTGAAAAGATACAAATATAAATACATAATACAGTGCATTTCTTCAATGTGCCCCTCCCTTTTAGTTTTTAAACGGATCAACTCAAAAAATTGAAATTAATGCATGAATACTTCATTTTGAAGTGAAATTGACAGATGAAACTTTCAAGATGGCAACTGGGCGCCATCTGGGAAAAAAAATTAAATGGAAAGGGAGGTCTTGCGGCAAATCATTTTGAAGCTCCTGACGAATACTTCACAACCCTAGAATATGAAGTCAATATATTCACCTACTACAAAATGGCGGAACATTTAATAATTTTCTGAAGACTAACACATTAATATCGATATTTTTAGAAATATTCCTTTTTATCTGCCATATGGCAATTCCAACAACCCGATAAGGTTTGTTAAGTTACTTTTTGTTTATAAATACGGCAAAAAATATCAGCACGACAATGAACATCATTGTTCAGTTAGAATAGTCTTATTTAGTTTTCAGTTTTACTAGTAGAAAGGTACTACGTCAACAATCAAAATTGAAGCGATTTTTATTTACGGTGCGACGCGTAACTTTCAAGAGACAAAAGGCTTTTCGATGAAAGTTTTCAGAGTCCTATCTGTAGAAAATATTTGAGGGAACTTGTATCCAAATTCACAACTACCGGTAGTGTAGATAACAAAAAGCCCCCAGGTCATCCGTCCATTCCAGAAGAACAGCAAGTGCAAATAATTGGAGAGATGGTAGTAAATCCTGAACAGTCTACTTATTCCGTCGCGAATGTTTGTGAGGTGTCTCCTTCTACTGTGTGGAGACTTTTGTAGAGAAATAGGTATCATCCATACAAAATTAAAATGGTACACCATTGCAAGGCATCCTACACATATCCACAATATTTCTTTAGTGACGAGAGTACTTTTTTTTTAAACGACAATGTTCACAGACCAAATCGCTGTTATTGGAGTGACATCAACCGTTTTCCGGGAAACACATACCCAATATCCAAAAAAAAATTAACTTTTGGGCAGAAATATTGGAAAACCATATTGTAGGACCTCTATTTATTGATCAAAATTTAACAGAGGAACTGTATTTGAATATATTGGAAACTACTGTTGAGCCTCTCATCACTAAAATCGTCGAAGCGAATCCTAATGAATTCGATATGGATATGGTATTCCAACAAGATGGAGAACCACCACATTACTCCAGACAAGTAAGACTCTATTTGGATACTACTTTTCCTGGTCGTTGGATTGGCCGTCGAGAACGGCCAGGCCGCTCGCCAGATTTGACAACTTTGGACTTTTTTATGGGGCTATTTGAAGCAAAAGGTGTACGAAACTGAACCTGCTTCAATATTGAATAACCGGCAGAGAATAATAAATATTTGTAGAGATATTGACGTTACTGTGTTCGAAAATGTTCGGAGTCAAAATATCCGATAGGTTGTTCCTATGACAAGAAGTTCAAGGCAACCATTTCGAGCATCTTCTGAGCTGACCTTAAGCTTATTACCTCATATTATGCAGTTAAATGTCAATGTATTCAGGCAATTATCGAAAGTTCCTCCATTTTGTAGTAATTGAAGATATTGACACCATATTCTAGAGTTGTGAAGCATTTGTCAGGAGCTTCAAAAAGATATGTCACAAGATCCCCCTTTCCATTTATTTTTTTTTCTAGATGGCGCCCAGTCGCCATCTTGTGAGTTTCATCTGTTAATTTCACTTCAAAATAAAGTATTCATGCATTAATTTCATTATCCCAAATGTCAATTTTTTGAGTTGACCCGTTCAAAAAATAAATATGGGGGACATCAAAAAAAAGCACTGTATATGAATTTTGAATAAATATAAATATACAATGCTACGTATTGAAAATTAATAGCCATTTTGTGTTGATTTTAATAACTTGTTTACGCAAAGATACCACTACGTGCCAATTACACGATAGAGCCTTGGTAGAATTCGTCCACACTATAATAGGGTCTCACAACAAGGAATTCTTTTACGTTTTTCTGAATTTTATTCATAATGTATTCAGTCCACACTATAATAGGGCCTCACAACAAGGAATTCTTTTACGTTTTTCTGAATTTTTTTCATAATGTATTCACCTCAAATAAATGGGAAGGTGGTTAAATAATTTCTTGCTATTAAAAATAATAGAATTTTATGTAAGGACTAGAGTAGGTGTTGGAAGGGAAATGAAGTGAGACTGACGTGTACTATACTTTGAGGTGGTAATGAATTGATTTTTATATTTTTTGTGGATAAGATATACTGTTTCAAAAATAAAAAGATATACCAAGGTCTGAATTTTTCGCTTCACAAGTTAAGGGCGGCATGAATCCTTGTATAAATATCTGATGGATCTTTTTTGTAGAGAGAATACCATAATGAAATGAAATTGTGCAAAATTTTCTCAAATTCCATAACCTAAATAGGACTCAATTTGGCAAAATAAACTGATTTTGTAATAGCAACAACTCTCACTGCATGGCATTTTGCTGCTAGTCTTTTACATAAGTAGTCGATATAGGAATCACATTTTAGACTTTCAACAATGTAAAGAAAGCCCTAAAAATTTGGTTTTATCTCCAACTTTTCAATATTTACATTTTCCAAGTGTACTTCCCTTGATAGTGATTAAGTTATACATAAATTCATTAAGAGAGTCAAAATAGATTAATTAACCTTACCTTGAAGTTTTTGATGTCGAGAGCCACATTTTCAGTTTTATCAACCTGCTGAATGCCATAACTGCCAGGAGCTACGAAAATATTTTTCACGAGGCTACTTTGAGATAATTTCCAAACAATAGCATGTTCGCGACCACCGCTACCAATGACCAACACATTTTTACCCATTTTTTATTAGGCTTGTTTCTGGTAGATTCTTTGCAAAACAACTGATTGAAAAATGTAAAATATCAGTGTTCCAAAACAATTTGTTGGACGTACCAAATGATGAAATCTATTTCAAAAGACTTGTTTTGAATCAGCGCAATGAATGTACAAATATTGAAAAAACAATAATTTATTGATAACCCCCTATGAAGTAGATAAAAGGTCGATTCTATAAGCCAATACCTAATGAAGATAACGATATAGAACAAACAGAATAAGAATAGAGTATTTGATTTTCAATATTAATTTTCTTGGGTTATCTCAGAAGAGTTTAGGCAGGTAAATTCCTACTAATTAGTGTCTTCTGTAACTTCAGTAATTATCCATTAGTTCTTCCAGTCTGGTTTTAGGTTTCAGTTCAACTAAACTTATCATATGGATATTTGACCCTGAAATGATAAAATAGGTCAGCAAAATGAAATGTTTTAGAATGAAGTTGACTTTTATATACTGCAACATACTCTAGACATTTCTAAGTTTTATTTTTTTGATACAAAATCTTTTAGAATGAGGTTGAATTTTATATCCTTCAACAGAATCTGATATTTCTTAGTTTTATTATTTTGATAAAGTGCTCTTTCGAACTATCGTGTTATTTTATACTTTTCAAAATTTTCATTTCAACGGTAAACACTGTCAACACATTTCAAAACGATAATAATCTGTTAACTTACTATAAGTTTAGCGATTTATCAATTTGAAAAGCATCAAACGTTAGTTTTGGAGATAAAGATAGTAAGAGAATGAAACGAGAAATGAAAATTTCTACGTTTTTTACCACTTTCAATTGTAACTAACGTTACTGCAGTTTCGTCCTATATGGACATTCTCAAACTTATGCAATAAACTAACAATGATTCATTACATTCGCCAATATATACCATTCAGGTACTTGATTGAGTACCTGAATTTATAGTTCACAATGCGTATGTGCCAACAGGTTGCACCCGCAATGTTTATGCTTGTGAATTTCCAAGGATTAAAAATAATTGAGTTTGCAACCCTTCCTTCCATAGTGCAGAATTTCCGTATCGTTTAGATTCGGAAACTTGTGGTTGCATGCCAAGGAATGGTTTGAAAACGTCGAATCATTTTTTCCCAGTCTGAAGGACCTTTCATGTTCAGCATACCGTTTTTGGAAATTTCGTCCGCATTGTCCCACATAAACACTATTACACTCCGGACACTTAAGCTTATAAACTCCAGANGAGGATCCCACAAATACTAAACTTGAAAAAGAAAACTCAACTGTGGGCACACGGGATATTCAAATGCCAAGTTTGTCAGATAAATCCAAAAATGAATACAGGAGGCACAAAAAAGTCAGCAGAAAACGGGTAATAATTGAAGGAAAGAACTAAAAAATACACACTCTGATTTCATAGTAGAGAAGATGGATCAAGAGAAAAATCGGATGTCTTTCTGTTATGAAAGCCAAACTGAGAGATACATTCGATTTTTTTCCAGAAAAAAAAATTCATGTCTAGAGTTGACTGTGAGAAAAATCTGAGTCATGAAATAACCGAGGAGCTAAAAAAATTTAATTAGAGAGTACTTAGGTTGTAAAATAGAAAAGGACTGAAAATAAAATTAGGAAAGAATTGGAGTACATTATGTTTATCATTTTTGAAAAAAAAATTATGAAAAATGAGACATGAAACTTTCTTTGTTTTTTAACACTTTCATTTGTAATTATCGTTACTGCAGTTTCATCCTATATGGTAATTTTCAAAATAATACAATAAAACTCCATATAGGACGAAACTGCAGTAACGATAATTACAAATGAAAGTGGTAAAAAACAAATAGTTTCATTTCTCATTTTTTCATGATGATCTCCTTCCACATAGTAACGGTTACATCAATCAACTTATTTAAAAAATTATTGGTCTTATCTCTGAGAATGAAAAACTTCAAATCAATCAATTGAAAATGTTTCAATGTTAAAAAGTGGAAACGGCGTTTACAAAATACTTATAGTACCTCCTATCTTTTAAGTATACTAACCCACCCAAGCACCCAACCATCGGAGTGTAATAATATTGTAATATTGCATTGAATAGAAATATTTCATTCAGGTTTAACGATGAGGTAACTAATGAAAGGGATTAGCTACTTTTCAAGTTCTTTTTGAAATTTATTGATTAAATTAAAAATAATTAAATAAATTGCATTTCTTCATTCATCAGTGAGATGTAGGCAGGAGTTCCAAATATAGGGAAAGCTTTGAATACCGGGCAAGCCTCAAGTAATGGAGGTTCACAATAGACCATTTTCTATTCCGGCTTCATTATTGACAATGAGATAAGTATTAATCGTTACAATCCCACTAGAATTACAAATGAAACCCAAAAAAACTCCACATATTTCATTTAATTATCAACAGCTCAAAGTACTGATCAAATCACTTGGATGCTTCATTCATAAGTGTCACAAATCCCTAGATATAATGTATAACTGAACACATAAGTGAGTTCAAGGCATAAGTGAGTTCAAGGTTTTAGATGACTACAGAATTATTAATCATTTCTCAAGAAGTAATAATGATCGGGGAAGTGTAGTTATGTACACACATGATTTAGTTGGAGTTAAGATATTCAAGTTATTGCCTTTTGCAGAAATGGATTTTAAGTTTTGTCTTGGGTCACTTAGCAACACTACGATTGTCATTAATAAAATTGTTGTGGTCAAAGATATGGTCAATAATCGTAGTATTCTGCTAAGGGACAGAAAAAAGTTATTCCAGCAAGCAATTTACTTTGTTACTGAAAAAACTTCTTGAAGAAAATATATTCGATCTCACCCTTAATAGGTTAGTTAAGTACAAAATCATTCAAAAAGTCTTAACTAGATACAAGAGAAATAAAATCAAGTACCTGTTATTCTCTTGGAAGGTTTGAAACTCTGTTTTCAAACATCAATAACCTTAAACTTCTTCTTCTCGTGTTGTGTAAAGCACCTTCGTCATTGGTTACAGATCGTCGTGCCTTGCGCAATATCTGAAACCTATATTGTTTATAGGTTTATATTCTGTTTTTGTGGTGCTCACTAGAATAAGGATCAATTGATGTTTGATGGATTTTTCTGGAATTCTGAGATTTACGGGAACTTTTAACTTTCTCCATTTTTCTACATCTTAATATTATTGTATTCTAAGTGTGCCCGCACCGTTATAGACCATCATCATTGTTGTAGGATCTGCCCCCACCATGTTTTACAAAAGCATTTTGTGACATTCAAACCTTTATTTGTTTTATTAACTTCTCATACAACTTTTCAGAGACTTGATATTTTTATTATATCTCATCCTTCCTGTTAGTTACATGAGTTCATTTATTTCACCTTATCACCTTATATATCTGTGAGGAATTATTTGAATTTAACCTAGTTACCTAACAAGAAAAAAAGTTGCTGAAAGAAATTTGCTAAACCAGAAGTGAATGAAAATTTCAAATGAAAATTAATTATAATGAAAGAAAGCAAAAACTTTCTATGGCGCGAAGATACATGCTAACACTACTGCAACATCGATTATGACATTATGACGTACTCTTGCTATTCTATTATTTTATCAAGAAAATAGTAGTAATGAGTAGCTCATTAGTGTGGAGAGGCAAAGGTGCGTTTGACGTTTGATTTTTATAGAAATTCAATTGATAAAAGTATTGAAAAAGGGTCTCCCAATTAACTGGTCTCATTTGGACACTATCTACAGTAAATTACAGAAATATTGTACGCCCTTTTCGAAACTCGTCACTGTAGATTAACTCATTTGCACCTACACAGAAGGCAACCCAATAAAACGACCCCATGAAACAATGAATAAGGTTCACCTGGTTTTAATATAATCGAAAAATATCAGAGTCGAAGATTCTCTATACTACTCACCTCTTTCCTCGATAGGAATATTCGTCTATCTAATTGGTAACAAAATGTAGGGGCTTACCACCGGGTTTAATGCTATTTACCATATATAAGCAATGCCAAAAATGTAATGATGAAGGCGGTTCACAGTTCGAACATAAATTGTAGTTGTTTGTATGTTTTTGTATAATTTTCTAACTTTTTTAATAATGAACCAACTTTTTGTATACTGTCTTCGTTTTTATTGATATGTAATTCCATTAACTGGTTTCTGCCGATTTCAATGTCAGCTAAGTACATATTTACCTACTTCAAAAATACATTTTGATTATTCTCCACTTTTTAGTATTTTTACCTTTTTTGCTGTTGCTTTACCTGATAATAAGGATGGAAAAATCAAGAACTTTTCTTTCTGTCATAACGAGTTCACACCACAGAATAATAAATAAACAGGGTGATGTAAGGAAACCAATTAAGTACTTGCGATGCACTGTTTGGAACCTTTGGTGTAGCAATGAGTATTACTGGAGTTTTTTCCCAACACCAAATCGTTATTTTAACACCTTTTTTAAATCCAGTAATATTCAAACCAATTAAGGTACAGAAAAACAAATATTTTGAGTGAACTGTGACACAGAACAATAAACTATCCTTTGTTATTGATCACAATTTCCAAAAGTATTTGATCTGTGTGTTTATCTTCTTCAAAACCGATGAGAAATTGGTCGTCAGACGATGACTACCTGTCTGCGCTAGAAAAACACTTCGTTTTCGCACTTGGGAGTGAATTCTGTGGTCACGTCATAGATATACACTATATATAATTTCAGTGGGTTACGTGAAGTCGGATATCTTCATTATCCTACTCTTGAGTTGTATAATATCCTTTATTAAGAGCACAGAAGGTATATTTCAGTAAATTGATTAATTTCACTTGTCGAATTGATGGAATTAACTAGAGGATGGACACTTAGTTAACATTAAAACTACTACTCGTTTCTCCTTGATACCTCGGAGAAGTCGATGACGAACTGATCATTATAAAATCGTGAACATTTCCTGATCAAATTTTTCAATGACATCAGAGAATGAGTTTTGACAAATAATTAACAAAGATGATAGTATTTTTCTTTCGAAGTGGTATGCCACCATGGAACAATGGAATATCTAAAAGACTTCGTCGGAATTTATAGTATCCTAAACAGTTTTCATAACAGCCCAAGACGACAAGTGAAGTTTTCATTTATGAAGCTGAAAATTATATCTACTACTGAAACAACATAATTAATAAACCATTACCTTCATAAGCTCGAGGAATCTCATCCTCTAACTCGCCATCTAATGTAAATGATACATAGCTCCTCTTCTCGTTCAGTGCATGACATACAAGTTACCTTCTGTAAGATCATTGATCAGATATGTTTAGGTTCACTGTTGGAACTATAGAAAAAACTCATGTATTCTTTTATTCTTTCAAATAATAGATATGATCCTTAGACACCTCAAAACGTGAAGGAAATTGACCTAGAATTTGAATTACTGTCTCCAAACGCTAGTGCCGCTCGTGGTTATTATTTCATGACCATTTAGAAACCCCGACTATATGAACATAATCACTCATTAATAATAATGGTAAAGTATCAATATAATGATAGCAATACTACTTCAAATTATTTCTATCACCTGATCAACAATAATAATAGAAACAATCTTTGAAAAGTATTTCCGCAACTGAATGGTCCTCTCTGTGAAAATTTGAAACTAAGAAAGTAACGGTCCATTTATCCACTAAATACCGCCAGATATTTTGGGTCAAAAATTCGGCGTTTACAATTTTGTATTATCAAAAAATTAAATTTCAATTTGTAATTTCAAACAGTTTTCGGAGTTTTATTGAGGTTAATGTGTTCGTTGAAATAAAAATATTTCCCTATTGAAATTGTTACAGACAAACATTGACTTGGGATAATTGAAATAAAAACACTAGTTATTATTTTTCCAATATTAGAGGCTGGCCGGTAATCTCAACGTCCTACGATTTTTTGTGGACATGATTTGGAAAAAATTCTACTTTCGGGTTTTTTGAGTTTGCTTTTCATGTTTAAAGTGACTTCATAGTTTATAAATACATCAAAATCATCAGATATTGATGACACATCTTGTCTATTTGGCATTGAAATTTGTCTTGACACATTTTTAGTTCACAAGGTAACCGTAGATAGTGAAAACGGCCTATTGGAATTTTGAAAGTGCTTGCTAAAGAGTTTTCTCTTTCAAAGTTATTTACCAGTATTAACCTTTCATAATTCAGCTTGTAGTCTCAGTTACTTTTCGAATTACCTCCATGTCTTTTAATCGTTTCATTTTAGATAATCGTGTCTTTCAGCAGGATAGCGAATTTTCTATCATTATGAAAAAAAAATTGGAATCTTATCATGATATATGTTGAACACGTGATATATTTTCTACTCGACTGAATTTTCCTGGATATGTTTCTAGAAGATGATTGATTTGGTCAATTCTCGTGTTGTGTGTTGATCAATGGGGCGTGATTAATTCCAGTATGATTGACATTGATAATCCAATAATTGTTGTACCTTTTGGTTGTGGACAACAAAATTTGGATTCATTCATTTAAGCGTCAGAGAGAAACTGTAACTACTTCCAAATGATCTATGTTCCCTTATAAACTGTTAGAGTCAAACTGTAAGTAAAAAACGTGATTTGTAGACTATTACGTTAACAGCTTTGCAATATTTGTCCAGAATCACTTGTCGATCAGTTGAACGTCTCTTATTATATTTTGTAAAACAGAATTTGTTGACAAATTACTTTCTTATTGTAGAACGGAAACTCTTTTCATACGATTTATCTAAACCAAATTGAACGGATGAACAAAAATGCTATCGTATTTCTGTTCACTTTTTCACTTTCGCTTTTTCAAAAGCTACTTTGATGAATGTAAATCCCGTCCAAATCTCAATATGTTTAAATGAAAATTTGGCTTCTGTGTGATAACTATGAAGCTACCTAAAAATCTATAGTCATCACATATGTCATTGCCACGAGAAATGTCTCGTGGTAATAACATGTGACAACAAAAAGGTTAGGTCAAATGTTGCAAGTATTTATAATAGAAAAGTAGATATGTACATATATAATAGTTTCTCGTCAGTATCTTGGAAATTGGGTTTGAAAATGTAGTAGATATTTGATAGTCATGCCTGAAAGTTTTGTAACTTCAATACAAAATTGGTATTTATCAATACTAATTGATACAAAAAATGTATAGTCATCATGTCATTGCCACGAAAAATGTGTCGTGGTAATAACATGTGACAACAAAAAGGTTAGTTCAAGTGAATAATCATTCATAAAACTCAGCACACTTAAACGATGAATTTCCATATTTATTAGTGTCTCACTGATATGGAAACGTTTTTCTTTATTTAATCTCGATTACAATGCCTTCTCCAGATATATCATCAACGAATACTTCTTAAAAAATTTGTGTCGACTTAAAATAATCCAGTACCTACTAATTTAGAAACTAGTACAATTGCAAGTGATAACTATAAGTATAGGAAAATATGTAGATCATCTGCATATGTTTTTATCGAATACCATCGGAAGACACTGCCTAAAAATACATTTTTCACATTAAAAAAAAATGTCACTGGACAGTTCATAAATCCGCAACACGTGCTATTATTTAGTTTCCTCAAACTTAAAGAAGTTATTGTACCTATAAAAACACGTGTTGTGGTTTTATAAACTGTCCAGTGAAGATCTCACAATGAAGTGTTACTTGATTTATTCATGGATGTTCATTAATTATATGCTAATTTCATGACATAACTGAATTTTCCTTCAAGTATTGAAATTCATAAAAATTAATTTCATGCACAAAACTTTATTTTAAAGATGATTCTTGTTTTGGTGTATATTTAGGTTGCTAATTAATAAAAAAAAACATTTTGTATAGTTTAATATCAGTTTGTGAAAGTAGTTTTTTTCATATGTCCTTTTCCGTTTCATTCTAAATGAATTTGAAAGTTTCCAGTTATCAAAAGCAAATGAAGTCGACCTTAAAAATTATGGTCGATAATTAAGGTCCAAATGGGGAAAATACTGTTGTATAAAAACGCCTATTGGAAGTAAATTTCATATCATGAAAATTTGTAATTATTATTATGAATGGTGGCATTAATTTTCATCCAAGCAACAACGGTCAGTGTATTCAAGGAATGGAATCAATTTTTTTCATGATCGAAGTTTCTATAAATGTATAAAAAGCACACATCATGTAACCTTATGGGACTAAGCATAACAGCATAAAACAAGTTACAATGATAAAACATGAAAATATACATTGGAAAAGTAATGAATAAAAAAGAAACTTAATGTTTAAAGGTCATTGAAATAATAGTACAACTGACTTTCATTTAAAATTCTTTATATATTAAGCGAGAAATATGAAGTTAAAAAGGATTGTTTGAACTGATTCATGAAGAACTGATGATAATTCATCCAACAAATAATGAAAAGCTCCGTCAAGAAGTTGAGAAGGGTCTAGTTGTCAACAAATACTGACTTCAGTTCTAAAATTTGCTTCAGTCATATATTCAGATTTTTTCACCATAACGCACGAGAAATAGAACGCGCCTTGATCAACGTACCCCTTCCAAACTTGTTCAAATACACATACGGGTATATAGCTATCTTCATTATTGTTTACGATATGTCAGCTGTGCTTAAAACGAGTATTTAAAAATGGCTGTATAGTAAGGAAAATTGGCATTTTCTGTGTTTATCGTTAAAATATATGATGAACAAAATCGAGAATTAGTTCAGTTTTTCAATTGTTTATGCAAAAACAGGATAAAATTAGATTACACCATTCAACATAGAAACAAAATCGAAGAAGCGGCAGCTGTTTTGTGACAAGTATGTATGGTTCATGGTATGAATACAGTTGATAAATAAAATATAAGCACATTCGGTTAATGATTGCATTGTGCATTTTAAAGAGTATTTGTAGCTTAGGAAACGAATAGAATTTTATTTTTGTGAGATTGTACATATGCATATAGCTATTAAATCAACTAATGCATGCGCGGGATCCCCGTTTTTCTGGCGGGACAAATGGAATGACTTTTTCGGTATGGCGGGATGAGCAGGAAACGAGGGTTCTTTTACTTTGGTTATGTGCAAGTTACACGTAGAAAAATCTCGCGGCTAACAAAGTTGGAATCATTCTTTATATTCTTCGCCTTTATATTAAATAAAGAGTACAAAATATACTGCTGATTTAACAATAAAAATTATCTTTACAACCGATAACTTCGAAGTGAATGTGAAATTTTTATTAATTTTTATTGAAAATATTAAAGGTAAGTGGGAGTAGCGATAATGGGCTTGATATTAGAGGTTTTTTCTTTATAAGAAGTAATTTGCCTCATTTGTTGCTTTTCAAAAGATAATTTTTTTATAAAATTCGAATACAAACTAACAATGTGTTGGCCTGCAGGGGGTCCAATATTCACTTTGTGTGCCATCCTGGCACATTTACAATTTTCTATTATTCCTCTATTATAGTGGACTTGGTTTTTAATCCAAGATAATGTGTAATAATTTTTTTTGGTATTGTTTGGAGTAAATTATTTTTAGGTGTGGACGTGTATTAATAGATGAATATCCATATTAATTTAAAGGATATCAGTAGACTTCACAAAACACTATACTCATTATACATGAACAGTGTCAAAAATAGTTAAAGAGCTATTAAAGTATAGTTTTAAAGGGATTTAAAAGGATTTAAAGGGACGATACTGCTGGTGTTCATTGAACTTTGGAGCCATTGCATTGTTTTGATTAAGTAATTTATAACTCTAAAATGAAGCTATTTTATTTACACCCTGTTGAATTTGTGAAAAGATTTTGTTTTATATGTTTCTAAATTGGATGTGTTGAATTTGCTGTCTTTGCTTACCTCATATCTTGAAAATTTCCATATTGAGAAATATATGATTATAAAATTATCTTTTTTCACCGAGTTGATTGAGAGATTTTATTTAAAATATACTGAATTATTTAATGTCAATTGACATGAAATCTAAGGTAGTAGTGCTACTAGATTTTAATCCTTGGTTGAGGAGCATTTTTGCCAAATAGTTTAGGGGAGAATAAAATAACATAAGATATCAATTGACTGCTTACATAGAATCATAGTATCAATTGTAATTTTTCCTCATAACCTTGTATCCTGGTTACCAGTGGGAAGTGAAATAAGTGTAAGATATTCAATGATCACTCATTTAAGCATCATATGTTTTTGAACAATATGTTATTAAAATGAAGTAATATGAAATTATATGTATATGTCTTCTCGCTACCATATTCAAACTCATTTGAAAATGAAATGAGATATTTTCAAATGAAAATATAACTAGTGCGGTTATCATTATACATGATTTATAAAAACAGGCAAAATAAGTTAATGGGAGAAAAGTTGAAATAAACAAGTTAAAACGCAATTCTATTTTTTATTTACAATATTCAATTTAAAAAAAAAGTTTATAACTCTTACATTCCAGAGAACTTATTATATATTCGTTTCATTGATGTGGAACATCCAACATAATAATAAATTAGTTCATATTATTGCATTTTCTTTTTATCCGAATTGAATGTCTAGATATTTATGTTGCTCATGTTGTCAAAAAAATACTTATAGTAATGAGTCTGCACTCATGAACTTTGGGGGATTATTTCTCAAAATGGTATTACAGTTTGTTTGTTTGAATATACATTCCGAGTCCAAAACAGGCACTTTTACCAATCACCAGATATGCAGTACTCTTCTCAACCAAGTTGGGGTCTTCACTCCACCAACTTGGGCTTTTTTTTGAGTTATTCTATGCCAGAGGTTCCTGTTTTACCTTTTATATATTGCAAGGTTATTAATTAACTTTTGATAGTTATGAGCAGAGGCACCATCTTGATTCCTTAGTTTTAGTACAAAAAACTATACAGACAAGTGATTTGATAGATCCTCTTAATATGTAGATCTATTTTGGTGCATCTGATGAGTGTGGATACTGTGGTTTCAATGAATAAACATGATATTTTTTAATAAATTAGATGTAGCTGTTACTATGTGGTAGGAGATCATTATGAAAAATGAGAAATTAAACTTCCTATGTTTGTATTTGTGACTAACGTTACTACAGTTTCGTCCTACAAGGACATTTTCGAACTATTGCATTAGTTCAAACTATTGTATTAGTTTGAAAATGTCCTTGTAGGACGAAACTGCAGTAACATTAGTTACAAATACAAGAGGAATTAAAACATTGGAAGTTTCATTTCTCATTTTTCATGATGTTATTTTATTGTTGAAACATACAATTGATAATGAAATAGGGTTCAAGGAATGGGGAATTGGTTAACACTGCTCTCTTAGCAACATTTTTCACATCAGATGATATTGTAATATAACAGACAAGTAAACTTGATCTAATACCAATAAAATATGAGAGCAATGTGAGTTTTCTAAAAGTATTTCATTGATTTATTTTCTTCAGTTTTCTTGATTGCAGTAATGTGTTTCTAAGAAATAACTACACTTGGAAGTATTTTAGTTTCACTTTGACCGCTTGGAATGAATATTGAACCCTAGATGAGTGCGTATGATAACAAGCAACCCTGTTAACCTCTAAAGTCTAGAGAAAAAAATATGAAAAAGCACTTTATCCCTCTAATTCTGACAATTGTATATAAATCGGTAACTAGTTATACCTGATCAAAATTAGTGTTATTGTCATCAAGGGCTCAAGTGCATTTTTCAGCTGTTCAAATGTTGCAAGTATTTATAATAGAAAAGTAGATATGTACATATATATTTAAATATATTGTACATATATTGCACAAATCAATTCAATGCAGAGTGCAAGAGACTGTTGGTTGACATTGGAAGTCACAGCATTCTGGAAATGACCTCTGACTTTATGCCTCCAACCGGCAACTACGAACTGCCTTATAAAGTACTATTCCCGAGTAATGAGGACTGGATCCTGTAGGAGAAGGAAATATTAAGAGCAGATAGTTGTTGGTTCACAGATGGATCAAAAACATATTCCGGTTCTGGTGCAGGTGTTTTCAGTCGCAGACCCAGGACAGAGTTATCTACCTGCCTAGGAAATTATGCGACTGTATTTCAAGCGGAAATTTACTCTATTGAACTGTGTGCGGAGAGATTGGATAAATCCAACCTCACAAGTCAATAAAAATATTCTCGGACAGTCAAGCGGCGTTGGAAGCTCTTGGTTCCTACCGAGCAACGTCTAAATTGGTAGTAAACTGCCAAAAAAGACTCTCCTCGATAGGAAAACTAAACAGATTGTCTCTGGTCTGGATTCCTGGCCATACTGGCCTGGAAGGCAATGAAGCTGCTGACTTTCTTGCAAAGGAGGGTGCTGCAAGCGAACAAGTAAACTTGATCTAATACCAATAAAATATGAGAGCAATGTGTGTTTTCTAAAAGTATTTCATTGATTTATTTTCTTCAGTTTTCTTGATTGTAGTAATGTGTTTCTAAGAAATAACTACACTTGGAAGTATTTTAGTTTCACTTTGACCGCTTGGAATAAATATTGAACCCTAGATGAGTGCGTATGATAACAAGCATCCCTGTTAACCTCTAAAGTCTAGAGAAAAAAATATGAAAAAGCACTTTATCCCTCTAATTCTGACAATTGTATATAAATCGGTAACTAGTTACACCTGATCAAAATTAGTGTTATTGTCATCAAGGGCTCAAGTGCATTTTGCAGCTGTTCAAATGTTGCAAGTATTTATAATAGAAAAGTAGATATGTACATATATATTTAAATATATTGTAGATATATTGCACAAATCAATTCAATGCAATTTGTTACTAACGTTACTGCAGTTTCGTCCTATAAGGACATTTTCAAACGAATACAATAAACTGAAATAATTAACAACCCTTATATACTCATACACCACTGTAGGTAATAACCAACAATCCTTAACTGAGTACCTGAATTTCATTTACCTGTGACAATGTGGGTACGCTATTATGAAAACTGGCCAATAGACTAGGTCGATTTGGTTATTTAGCAGGTTATATCCGCAATGCTTATGGATTTCCAAGGATTGCAAATAATTGAGTTTCCGACCCTTGATTGCATAGTGCAAAATTTCCGTATCGTTAAGATTCGGGAACTTGTGGTTGCACTCCAAGGAATGGTTTGAAAATGTTGAATCATTTCACCTAGCATACTGTTTTGAGAAATTTCGGCCACATTGTCCCACATAAACACTATTACACTCCAGACACTTAAGCGTATAAACTCCGGATTTCTCCATCTTGTTCAGTTTATCTTTGCCATTAAAAAGGAAATTAAATAACCTGGCATGTGGCCTGAATGCCACTTCTGAAAAATCCCGCAATTGTTTCTGTTTATTAAAGAAGTTTCTGTTAATTACCAAAATATGTTAAAGTTACAAATTTCTTGATTTCTGGTTGTTTCATCTGAGGGTATATTAATCTGTACGTAAATTTGAGGCTTTGTTATCTAACTAACTTCTGGATTGTGTCTGTGTTGAAACCAGTATTATGTGTTATCTATTTATTGTATTCGTTTGAAAATTTCCTTATAGGAAAGGAAGTTTTATTTCTCATTTTTCATGCTTATCTCCTACTAAATAGTAACGGCTACATCCATCAATTTATTATATACAATACTTTTGACATGTCTAAACGAGTCAGATCATGGGATCTATCCATTCCTCCTCCATACCCTAACTCCATCTTGCCGAAACCATATTATATCTGCTGGGATATGTGGGTTGGCTCGATCAGGATATAAGTTTCTTTGGCATAATTATCTCCATTCAAATGACCAATAATAAAAAAAGAAATTAGGTATTTTCTCTCATCCAGTAAAGATTTTCCCAAGCAGCACTTTTGATGATTAACACGTTCAAGTTTCAAAATCTTCTTGCACGAGCTCCTGAGTGGCTATCATTGTATCAAATAAATAGAAATATGTCTAGAATGTTCTAAATAATAAAAGATTTGAAATATAAGGTGTTTTTAATTCAAAGAAAAAGTTTGTTCAATAAACTGATGGATGTAGCCGTTACTATATGGTAGGAAATCATAATGAAGAAAAGAGAATTGAAACTTTCTATGTTTTTTACCACTTGTATTTGTAATTAACGTTACGGCAGTTTCGTCCTATAAGGACATTTTCAAACTTATACATTAAACGTACTCAATGTATAAGTTTGGAAATGTCCTTATAGGACGAAACTGCAGTAAAGTTAGTTACAAATAAAAGTGATAAAAAACACAGAAAATTCAATTTTTTTTCTTCAACCTGAAGAAAAAAGATTTTTCAAACATGCTCCCATTTATTTATTATCGAATTTATTTCTTTTGTATATTATTCTTTACATTTAATTGATAGCTTCACTTATTGTCATACCAATCAGTCATACCAGTGTTTTTATACATGATAGGTTCAGATAATTCTGATTGAATTACAATGAGTAAATAATTATCTGTGAACTACAACCCTCAGAAATCGAAACTTTGTGAGCGAGGATTAACAGGTCTTACCTTTTGAAGTGCGATTCCTAGCAGGAATTATGGGTTATGAACTATCAATATAAGTTTCTGAAATAATTGTATCACATTTCCATTTTATTCTGTTGAAATCACTTCTATTCCAGTTCTGATGTGTGGGTAAAAGTGTTTTTATTAAATTCATTTTAGACAGAATTTCTAGTTGTTTCTATCAAATTTTGATGATAAAAGGAAAAATACGATTTTTTAAGAGTTGAATTATTTTTTTTATCATTTCTATATTGGTACTTTAGATATTTCTCTATCATATTTGTTGTAGAGAGTTGATTTGAAATCTGATTTAGCTATTCCGCTTACTTTTCAGTTGGGTCCTCAAGTATATTATAACACAGTAGCTTCTTCAACAGTGATTAAAATTGTTACCCTAATATTAGCGTAAGAAGCAACTTGTATCATTCAAAACATTGTTGATAAAGCTACTGTGTTAGTGAAACATGTCGTGATATATTTTTCAAATAAAGTTTGTGGCGATCAAATCGTGAGATGTAGTTTATGAAATTACTATGGATCTTCATCAAGTAATGGCCAAATCAATCATTAAATTATTTCAGTTATTTCTGGAGTTTGGCTCCTTGTTACATTAGTTTCTTTCAATTTATCATTTATATTATTTTCTTTTTTGCAGAGTAACTTCCTTGACGAAATATATTTATATCTCAAAATGAGCGACAGCAGGTCTGATGAAGATAGATCCCTACATTCCAATGAAAAGTTTCAAGACTATGATCCTGAGAAACTCACCTGCATGGGGCAATATAATGAAGGAGAGTATGTTGATTCCAGCAAGTTATCTTTTCAAGACTTGCTGAAAATCCACCATAAACAAACAGTTTGGGGCTTCAAATTCGGGAAAGAACTGCGTGATAGTACTTTGGCAAGAGAAAAGAGTAATCTGGAGAAGAAATCTGATGTAAATGAAGTTAGGGATCAAACACAAACTATCATTGATTCAAATGATACTGCCAGTAGTAGTAGTAGTTGTATATCTTATACTGAAAAAGATCATAAGACACCGCATTCGAGAAAGCGAACAGGGGCCAGAAGAAGCAGCAAAAGGAAAAGCAGTTCAAAACATAATGATTTTGAATCACCCCAAAAAACACGTAGGGCTCCATTGCCTTTGATGGACTGGGCAGACTCTAAAGATGTGAGTATGAAATATGGCTTGTATGTTATAAAAAAATTGAGGACTACTTTAAAAATATCGAAATACTCAAATAACATTTTTTTAAAGGTTTGGCTGTTTATGGTTTACAAAGAAGAAGCATCTCTGAATCTACGAAATCCTAGCCTGTTTGAAGATTTTACAAATTTCATGCCTAGGATGAGAGCAATCTTGCTGGACTGGATAATGGAAGTATGTGAGGTCTATCATCTACGTAGGGTCACATACTACCTTAGCATTGACTACTTTGACAGATTTTTGTCAATAAGGCCTGATGTTCCAAAAAATCAACTTCAACTAGTGGGTGTTACTTGTCTATTTCTTGCATCCAAACTTGAGGAAGTTTATCCCCCTCGTTTAACAGAATTTTCCTATGTTTGTGATGGTGCTTGTAGCCCAGAAGAAATTCTTGCTTGTGAATTATTAATCTTGAACAGTTTAGGTTGGGACTTGAATATTATGACCCCTAGCGACTGGTTGAATCTTTACATGCAAATACATTTTCAAGCTGGAAGTGTTACCAGGCAAAAATTACATTGTGACATTAACAAAGGCTTTTTCTTTCCACAATATTCTGGTTATCAGTTCACCAGAGCTTCACAACTTACCGATATGTTCAGTTTAGATCCAGGATTTCTTAAATTTAGTTACAGTACCATTGCTGCTGCAGCAATGTACTTTATGTATGGGAAAAAAACTGCTTTAGCTACTTCTGGTTTGTCTTGGAAGCAGTTGCAACCTTGTGCAGAGTACATGGCAGTATTTTACCATGTTTTACGGGATAGTCCAGATCCTAGGTTGCAGTCATGTAAAGGGGATCCAGCAGTGGAAGAGCAACCTAACACATCGTTGGATAGTATTAGACACACGGTAAGTTTACAAAAAGTGTTCAGTAATATTTAGTATTATACAATTGGCAACTGACAAACTTCCAGTGGAGGAATGAAATAATGACTGTCATTAAGATATACTGAACGTTCATCCACCTGGATGATTTATGAATCAATGGAGTTAATATCTCCATTGGACCAATGCCCTTCAGATGGATAATCAAGGTTTGGATTTCCAATTTAACCAACCTTGAAGATCTTACTGTTTTTGAGATAGCAATAGTGGGATAAGCAAATATATATGTATATAGATATATAAACAGGAGAGAAGGAAAGAGAATACAGGGGACTAATATAGCCTTGGGAGGGGGATGAAACATGTTTCTCTGATCAAATTTAGAAAGTTTCAAAAAGGAACACAGAAATAGCATGACATCACTTATAATTATACCTACTGAAAATTAAGTTTCTTTGAAAAGGAGACATTTATTATCTATTTCAAAACATAAAACATCGACATTCAAGGAATCACTTGCATATATTGTCATAATATTATTTAATATGTTGCCTCAAGATAATAAAGAGTTGCATATAATTTTTAGAAAGGGATACACTGTTATTGTGATTATTGCTTTTACTGCATTTCTTTTACCTTAGTTAAAGGTTAATTGACTTTTATGTATATATAGGTGTATATGTATGTGTTTTTTATTTTCTATAATAAATTATATACTTGTCGTAAGTCTCGGATATATATTTATACTATGGACCATTATTATTGTTTATATATTTGTTATATTTTTTTTTTTAATGACATGCCTGATATCATGAAAATGATCGAAAAGACAAATAATGTTATTATTATTATAAAGTGGTTCAGATAGCTTAGTGAAGTTAATATGATCCAAATTGTTATTATATTGAGCACAAATCAAGTAGAATTTAGTTAGTGTGAAAACGCTTGAGAAAGCTTTTGTATAGCGAAACATGTGTTGCGGTTGTTTGCAGTTTTGTAAACTGTCTGGTGCAAATTTCACGATCAAATGTTACTTAAACTCAAGGAGTATTTGACAATTATTTGTTTATTTCCTTGTTATAGATACCAGTCTACAAATATGAGCAGTTTCAAGAAAGTACTCTACAGTCAAGGTCGAGAAATTATTTATAGTTTCTATAAGTTTATGCAAACCGAAAAAGATTGACAAGTTCTAACAATTCCTCTAAGCAATCTACAAGAGAAGGATATAATAATAATTTATACTGAACCCATCTTCAAATCGGCCAGTGTGCATTTGTCTGGAATATTGTAATTGAATTAAACAAATAGTTGAGTCGTTTTCAGTTTTAGTTTGAATAATTTTGTGCTTCTTACTGTAGAAGCACAAACTTTTTGACCCCAAAACGTAAAAAGATTCAAATAGCCAAAACTGAAAAAATCAAAATGAAAGGTATTATTTTGCTTATTCTTTAAACACTTTATTGCGAGATTTAAATTCAATGGTTTAAAACATTGCAACACGTGTTTCACTATACAACAGCTTCCTCAGGTATGTTTATAATTCTCCCCAATTAGTGCTTTATATAATAAAGCAATTTGAATAATGTGACCTTCTCCTACTTAATGGTAGGTAATTGAATTGACATGTAGTAAACTAATTACCAATTTCCACATTAGGAAAAAAATTATTAGAGGGAAATTATTCAATTCTATTTCTAGAATTTTCAAATCTTTCAATTTCCAAGCTTTCCAAAAGAGTTTCAAAACCTTTCTCTTCCAAATGTAACACGTCATGGTTAAACTCATGCTCCTCTGCCAAAAGATGGTTTGCAAATGTAGAATTGGTCTTCACATTAAAGAAACTACCCCTATTCTTTAATTTTTTGGGTAAAGGTTCTCCCTATTTGGACAAAATAAATATTTGGGCAAGAACCATGAATCACCTTATATACTCCTGATTTATCCGACACTGTATTTTGTTTGCATTGTTTAAAAAAACGAAAGATGTTATTGGTGAGTTCACTTAAGTAAGTCAATGTCCTATGACGCTTATTATCGTTTCTTGAAGAGGGATAGTTTTTTTAGAAATAGTAGAGTTGATAATATCGACCTTGTAACCGTGGTTGACAGCAATATTGAGCACAAATCAAGCAGGATTTAGTCAGTATGAAAATTCTTGAAGTGGGATAGACCTGGTAAGTGGGTTGTGTTTGTAGTTTTTTTTTTAGAAATAATAGAGTTGATAATAGCTACCTTGTAACCGTGGTTGACAGCAATTTGTTTGATAAAACTCAGTTCTTTTCCAAAATTATTTTGTGACAGTGGAATATTCAATGGTCTGTGAATCATACTATTGAATGCTGCCACTTTATGCTGATAATGATATGTCAATAGGTTACTGCTATTGGTTACAAGTTGAGAATTCAAATGTCAGAAACTTCCTTCAAAACATTTTTCAGTGACGAGGCCAAATTCACAACAAACGGTAGGTATAAATAACCGAAAAATTTGAGATATTGAGATAAGTAGAATCTAAATTCCAGTATATATTGCATGCATGGGGCAATATTCCAATGAGGTGAATGTTTGGTGTAGCAAATCGATAATAGAGTAAGGTACCATTCAATGAAATTTACAATGTTTAAAAACATATAAGGATTTATAATAGAATTATCAGTAGATTTATCAGCTAGGCAAATAAATAAAGAAAACGCACAAAGGCTCAGCCTGTACGTGGGTATCAAAATTATAAGTGACATTTATGCATACAATGCAATTTTTCATCATCAATCAACAATCAATTAAACATAGAACATTAAAAAAACACATATAAACATATACCTAAACACACTCATGAAAATAAACATATATACACATATACATTCATTCACATATATAAACTCATCCCCCTATCTACACATTGAAATCATAAAAAATTACAATTATACACTTATAATCAATTATTACTTTTACCTTAGCAAGTACCTTTTTGAGAACTCTTCATATTGGTGAAAAAAGTTTTTAAATAGGATTTCAAATGAAAAAGATACAGATGTGACTGAAGTTCAAGTGAAACAATTAATAGAAAATCAACAAACTAATTTTAAATTAAAATGTTCACTTAATCATAATAATTTGTATGGACTAATTTCTCATAAATATTGTTAAAAATACTAATAGGATGTCATTTATCATCAAATGTACTTTGTAATACCTACGCATTACCATGGAAATGTGAAACTGATAAAAATACTAAATTATTCAATTTCATTTGTTGAAGGTAAATATTGAATAATGAGTTGTTAAATGCCAGACATTTTTGTAACAACCTGGTTGAACGGAAGTGATAATATCCCTAAGAACTATAACAAAACTACTAGTGCTTGAATTATTTAATACATTTTTTCAAGGTCATAAAAATACAGGAGTAAGAAGAAATTTACCAGAATAATTTAAGCATACGTGGTATTTCATGAGAAAATTTCACACTACATTGAACTTCAACAAATTACTTGTGATGCACTGTTTGGAACCTTTCGTGTAGTAATAAATATTACTGGAGTTTTATCCCTACACCAAAGCCTTGTTCACAAACAGGTGATCCCTCACATCTTTTATCCGTATCCCTGGACAAGGGACCGTTATAGTTTGCTACTCTCCAGGTCAGACGTAACTTGAAGCACCGCAAGGCAAGGGAGCTTATCTTCCTATCAGATCTGTCCATAAAAGAGTCTCATGTCACATCTGGTGGAAACTGGGTATCCTTGTCCTTCTAGGGTTGAAAAAATATGCATTCAGATGTCAGGCCTGGTTTCCGTAACTCTTTCCTTTCCAATGTCGAATTTCAAAATCATAAGTTTGTAACTTTTCGAACCACCAGGCTATTTTTCCTTCTGGAGTTTTAAAGTTGAGAAGCCACCGAAGTGCTGAGTGGTCTGACCTGATCAAGACTTTTTTGGCATATAAAAAATAGTGGTAATTATCTACCGCTTTGATCAATGCCAGGAGCTTTTTTCTCGAAACGCAGTAATTTATTTTGGATGTTCCCAGGGAATCACTAAAATAGCTAATGACGACTTACTGTTCCTGAGAGAGTACTGCTCCTATTCCATGGTGGGATGCATCCATGTCGAGGATGACAAAGCCCCCCTCCTTTGGGTATGCCAGAATGAGACACTGGTCAAATGTCTCTTCAAGGCAGCAAATAGTTTGCGGGCAGTCTGGGGACCAAACGAAGGGCGATCTCTTCTCAGTCAAGCTATGCAGTGATCTGGCAATTTTTCCAGAGTGCTTCACGAAACGCCTGTCCAAGGATACTTCTTACGCCGTGTTTACTTTTCGTTGTTGGCCATTCGTACTCTGCCTTGATTTTCTTTGGATCTGTTTCGACTCCTTTTGAAGACACGTGTCCCAAGAAATTAACTGTTTACTGGAAGAGGCAGCACTTCTTGGTATTGATCTGCAAATGAGCATTGCGCAGCCTCGTCAAAACACTCAAGTTTGACAGATGTTCGTCAATACTTTTCCGGTCACTATAATGTCATCAAAATAGACCAAGCATGTTTTCCAAGTGAGTCCTCTCAGCACCAACTCCATCAATCGTTCAAATGTCGCGGGTGCATTGTATAATTCAAACGGCATGAACTCAAACTGATACAATCCATTGCCAGTGGAGAAGGCAGTCTTCTCTTTATCCTCGAGGCGAACGGCCACCTGACAATATCCGCTTTTCAGATCTAATGTTAAGAATCATCTGCATTCAGCCAAGATGTTCAGGATGTCATCTATTCTGGGGAGAGGGTAACTGTCCTTTCTGGTGACATCATTAAGCCTCCTTCGATTACTTCTTTCTCCAACATGTCCTTAACGATGGATAAAGCTTTGTCCTGCTTTGCGAAGGAAAGTCGTCTCGGTGGTTGGCGTATGGGATTGGCATCGCCAGTATCGATCCGATGTTGAACTGTTGAATGATTTTTTCGGTGTTGGGAGAGATTCTGGAATCTTTCAGTATAACCACCTTCACGCTGTCATAAGGCTGAGGCATATCGATCAGGATTTCCTCATTTCCAACAGTTTGTTCATTAGGTGCACCACTTTTCTATAGAAGGACATGATGTCTAGTCCCAAAATGAATTAGTCGACGATGTTGGCCACTAATACCTTAGTTCCTATTTCACAATTTCCAAGCCTAAGTCTCATTTCAGCTTCTCCATAGACCATCAGTCTATCTCCAGTGACTGTTTCCAGAACGGGTACTACTGATAACTTCTTCAAACTGCTTTTGTTAGAAATGTCGGCTCTCATTACTGACCTAGTTGCTCCAGTATCAACGGTGATTATTCAGAAATTCGTAGTGTTACTGTTGCATCCTATCTTGGAAATCAAATACCTGGGGGCCTGGGATGCAGCAGCCAATGTACCCCCTAATACCGCCTTAATTTATTTTTTCTAAATCCCGACGCTCTCGTTTGGGTGATCCCGAACGCCAGGCTCTTCTTTCCTCGGATCATGAACATGATCGAAAGTCCCGCTTGAAATATCCCTCTGTCACAGTTATAGCATTCGGACCGCCTTTTTGCCCTGATTACAGTTCCACTCATCAAATATTTCTTAAAGAGTTCCTCTAGACCTGCCATGACTCGATCTGTTCTTTCATCTTTCTTTTCGTTGATGCCCTTCATTAGAACGTTTTGTTGTTGGCGCAAAGCATTTTTGGCAGCTTCGAACTTTAGGGCATATATGATGGCTTCATTCAATTTTTATGACTTGCCATCCTCAGCGAGTGCTGCAGCTCCGTGTCACGAACCCCGTCGACGAAACTATGGACACTAATCCAGTGGGTGAAGTAATTGGGTACTTCTGGATAGGCGAGTCTTGCCAACTTTTCAACTTTAGCCCCAAACTCCAGCAAACTCTTGGATGAACCTTGAGTTCTCATCTTTAGTTCAGCTTGGTAGACTTGTTGCAGGTGCTCACTACCTTGCCTGACCTCCAAATCTGATACAACCGCTTCATAATCCTTCTACTTATTCACTGGAATATTTTGCAGAATTTCGGAGGCCTTTCGTCGTAGTGCCAGTATGAGAGGTGTTGCTTTCTCTTCATTTTTCCACCCATTATTTTCCGCTGCCACCTCAAATTGTCTGCGATAAATTGACCATGAAGATTCGCCAATGAAAGTTGGAGTTTCAATAAAACTACTGCTAGAAGGGAGAGATGTTATTACCTACTCCTTGTTCTCGACTCCTTCAAGCTTCTCTTCAAATTTCCTTTCAACCCCGTCAAGCTTCTCATCAACTACTTTTTCAAATTACCTCTTTGTGTCCTGAAATACTTTTTAAAATTATTCCTGAATAAATTTCTGTACCTCCCCTTTACTCTCTAGATAATATTTCAATTCTTCAAATAATTGATGATACGTTTGATTGTATTTTTGTTGTTTACCCTGAATATCAACCAATAGTTTACGTACTTCCTCTATGTCTCTTTCTTGGTTTTCCTGAATATTTAGTACTAATTCGCGGTCTTCATTTCGGCGTTATCGTTCTTTCTCAGTCCTTCGTTCATAATCCTCTCTTCTGCGTTCATTTTCCTCTCTTCTGCATTCATCATTCTCCGCCAGGACCGCTTGCAGAGCGTTGAATATTTTCGTAAGTTCTTCCATCCCATCGTAATTGACACTCCTTGTTTCACCATAAAACAGAAAATTTTCAGACAATTATTCCACTTCCGACACCAAATGTTACTGTTTTTCCGTGGGTGCAGCAATAATTGACTACACTGTACAAATAAACTCAATTTCATTTGTTGATCGCGACTTCTGCTCGAAGAGCAACTGCTACCGGTGTTAGTTTTTTTAAGTGATAATTTACAACATTACAAATATACTCAAACAAAAATCGATATAACTCCGAAAAGTAGTTTTAGAATGTTGACAAATCCTATAACTATCAACCTGTTCACTTCATTTAAGAATATAATGGATGCTTTTTCAGTGATGATGAAATAAATGCATGAATTAATAAATACATAACTACTATAGCACCGACACACGTTGTTTTATATTTTGCATAAAAAACGGCGCCCCATACAAAAAAGGCAAGAGAGATTATTCATCACAATTTGAATGAAGAATTCAAAAATTATTTTCACCCATATGTGCGTCAATGATGAACATCAAATTCTTAATTGTATATCAACAAATGCGCAATAACTACCTCATAACACCCACCAAATAATTTCATTTGCATATCTTGATCAGTTTCACAACAATACACAGACAGTTTTCAACAATGCATTCGCAGACAAAAGTTATATAGCAAACTGTCATTATTTTTACATGCAGAATCACCCCCTGAAGTTTGTCACACTTATTCACTAACACCTTGTATAACTAGAACATCCATTTTGACGGCCAACCCCAATATCAGTAAGTTTTGTCCTTGTTTTAAATTTTTGACATATTTTGCATAAAAATTATTGCAGCTTCCCTGAAATATTATTGAAATATTGAAATAACATGACCAGTCGAATGAGAATTTGATAGGAAATAATCGAAAAGAAAAAAAAATTATATACAATATCATCTAAATGAACCTGATAGTGACTTGAACAATACACCTTTGAAAGACTTCATGTGTGAAGATAAGGTTAGAATAACAAGTGTAAATGTTGAGGTCAGTGTAAGAAATTAAATGAAAAGTATTTCTCAATCTTCATTTGAAAATGTTTTTAAAGATAAGCTACAGAATTGTAGAATGGAAGAGTAAACAATAGAAGAAACCAAATCTCATAGAGTTGATAACTATTCCAGTGTGTATTTCCGAAAGGCTTATGAAGAGATAACTGATGTCACAGATGCAAATAATTTGAACTGAGGGGAGATGTGATGTCTGAACTTCAATATTTTCTTCTGCTTTGTTGCATACTGGTCATCTACAAAAAATGGTATTTTCTGTTGACAGCTACACAAGTTAAATTCTCTTCCATGCTTGATGTAATATGATCACGATAGTATTACACGATAGTATTATTGTATGTGCTTTTGTTTAGTAGTTGTATTCCTCCATGATATAATAGGGGTTTTTATTCACATTGCCCCACCATTGTGATACACTGAATAATGAACACCTGAATAGTAAGCCTTATTTTCACTACCCAGTACACATCAATAGTATTGCACAATGCATACACAACCATAAAACTCAGCCTGTGTAATAGGTATCACCAAACAAGGTTAGGCTGCTTTTGTTGTATATAATTTTACGATATGACAACTTGACTATAATATAAAAATTAAAAAAATAGTTTGCAATGTTGTTACACTAGCATTTTGTACTTGCTTACCTTGCGGCAATTCACCCAAACCATACATTGGATACAGATATGGTGATTTTCCATATCTAGCAAGGGAATCCGAGTATAATTTGATACGATTGATAGTTTCGTTTGCAGTTCTATGCAAATATTCATCATCACGATGTAGTGCCAAAGCATGTCCCGTAAAATCTTGAGTGTTTTTATCCAATCCGAATTTTTCATAAAGTGCTTGCATATTTTGTGTGGAGGGGTCAAAATCTTTCCAAGTTTTTGGATCTTCAGGATTGAAGTCCTGAACATAAATTAAAAAGTTACGGAATCTACGCTTTTCAAACATGCCCATCAAATCAGAAGCAAGTGCTTCTTTTTGATCAACAGGTACCTAAAAAAAAAAAAAAAGATTCATTCATTAAATTTTTTATATGGAAACTAATCGTAAATCATGGACTATAAACAAAGTAGATAATCCAGAAAAAGCTAATAACATCTTACATGAATGAGATTTGATCATAGTATATAAAACTGCAGAATCTTGTGTAAGGTTTGGGACAAAATGTACATAATCATGAAAGTAGTAAATCATGGAGTGCTCGTATAAACAAAGTAGATAATCCAGAAAAAGCTAATAACATCTTACATGAATTAGATTTGATCATAGTATATAAAATTGCAGAATCTTGTGTAAGGTTTGGGACAACTTTTACATAATCATGAAAGTAGGCCGTTCAAAAATGTTGAAACTTGAAAAATACTTGTTATATAAAAACTTAATGTAGTGTTGAAAATTCAATTAAACCACAAGTATGGATCCAGAGCTGCTCTCATTTCTGCCACGAATATAACATTAATTGAATGTTACAGACAGACAGGTTAGTTACATAAAAACATTGAATTATGTTAATTATAAAATTTCTTATCGGGATTTTAGTTCCACAATAAAAAAAAGGGTGGAACCAATAGTACCACATCTTTTGTAATATTTTTTTCTTGTATCATGTTTATGAATGCTAGATCTAGTTGAAAAACTGCTATAGTTACTAAATACATAAACACAAACTTCAAAGATACGTAGTGATGATAGCGTGATGATTTTACAGGTTCTGAATACATCAATGCCGAGCGGGTAAACTAAACATTACTCTGAGTATTCTCTTTTGTGCAGCAAATACATCATTAGCTCTCGAAGACCTTTCCCAGAGGCAAATGGCATATCGAAGTCTGGAGTCTACTTGGGCATGGTAGAGGATCATCTACTGATCATTAGACATAACTGATCTAAAATTAAGTAATTGATAGAAAACATAATTCAATTTATTGATTGAGATTTTACAGTGTTCTCCCCAGGAAATATGTTTGTCTATAGCACTACCACCGCGGCCAAAATCACAACTGAAAATGAAATGGATTAGAGTTAAAACCTGTCATTTAGTAAAAAGTAAGTTTAAGAACTTTCCAATTTTATTATTACTCCTGTCAAGACATTAGTGATTACCGATTCTATTATCTTTTGAATTCCTGTATTACTGGTACTCTTGTTTGTGATTGTAACGGTATTTTTTCATCGTATGCCATTCATAGTGTTAACACAACATAAAAGAAATTTAACGATTAAAGTAGAGCTATATTTAGTTATCGTAATATTTGTAATGAGTATTAAAAAATTCGAGGAGTTTGATTCATATGATCAGATTATTATTAAATAGAGCACGAAATGTCCATTTAAGGAGTTAGTAAAATTTTCTTTCATAATGTAAAAATTTTAATTAGTTTTTACCCCAACACAGGTAAAATGAAATTAATAGTCACTATGTGAGTAGAAGTTAATACCCCTGTTAGACTAGCAAAACTACTTTGAAATTTCATATTTATTTTCAGGCTACAATTTTTGGCTAATTTTAGGCTCTTTTCTACTCTATACCAATTTTTTTTTAATTTTTTTCTCCTCCTTTAACGAAGATATCGTGGGTTCTGTTAGCCTAACGTTAAGTGATTACCTCAGACATACCATAAAAGTGGAAATTATTATTCTAAAATATTGTTGCAAGTTATCACTTGAAAAAGTGTAACGTAGGCCGCCACTACTCTTCGTCAATCGACTGTGACTTGGCCAAGGTCGCGTTCAAGTCTACTTGTGTCTCTCGAAGGTTCTAGGTGTCGCGTCGCTTCTAAAATAATTCTATCGGATTCCTAAGACTTCCATTGGCATACATGAGCGCTACCATCAGGCAGATTTAGTTAGTCTGGTTGAAAGTGCGTTACAAAGTAAGCTAATAAATCGATAGATATTTGAGAATTAGTTGAAGTTCACTTAAAGTGTTTGTGTTGTATTGGCAGTGTGATAGTGAAATAAAGTTGGGTTCCCCCGAACCAATGGGGAAAACAACATTTGGTGTCGGAAGTGGAATAATTGACAGAAAATGTTCTGTGTTATGATGAAAATAAGGACTGTTGATTGGAAGAACTTACTAAAAAATGATCAAAGCTTTGCAAGCGGGGCTGGCGAAAAATGCAGAAAAGAGGAAGATGACTTTGGGGCTGAAGTTGAAAAGACTCGCCTATCCAGAAGCACCCGATTGTTTCACCCATTGGATTAGTATCCATAGTTTCATCAATGGTGTTCGTGACACGGAGCTGCAGCAGTCGCTGAGGATGGCATGTCATAAAAAAATTAATGAAGTCTTCATTTATGTCTTAGATTTCGAAGCTGCCAAAAATGCTTTGCGCCAACAACAAAATGTTTTAGCGAGGGCCATCAATGAAAAGGAAGACGAAGGAACATATCGATTCATGGCAGGTCCAGAAAAACTCTTTGGGACATATTTGTTTGATGAATGGAATTCCATCAAGGCAAGAGGGCGACCCAAATGCTATAACTGTGCCGAGAGGGAGATTTGAGGCGGGACAGTCGATCACGTTCAGGATCTGGGCAAAGGAAAGACTGGCGTTCGGGATCACCCGAACTAGAGCGCGTCGGGTTCAGAAAAAAAAATTCAGCCAGTGTTAGGAGGAGTACCTACATTTGCTGCTGCATCCCAAGTCCCCAGATTTTCGATTTCTATGATAGAACGCAACAGTAACAGCTTAGTTGTCAAATAATTTCTGAATAATCACCAATGCTGTTTTAATGTCGATACTGGAGCAACGAGGTCAATAATGAGAGACGCCATTTCCAACTTGTGCAGTTTGAAGAAATTATCAGTAGTACCCGTTCTGGAAACAAACTGACGTGAAGTGATACTTAGGCTTGAAAATTGTGAAATAGAAACTAAGGTATTAGTGGCCAACATCGTCGACAAATTCATTTTGGGACTAGACATCATGTCCCTCTACGGATTTGTGGTGGACATAAGAAACAAACTGTCGAAAATAATTTTTTTCGGATATTCTTGTGCATGTGATACATGAAAAAATCTGTACTCTTGTTTTGATGAAACATCTCCGATAAATTATTTCAGTTTTCATCATGTACATGTACAAATTAACACAATATCAAAATTGCCAAGAAGTGAAAGATTTTTAATTGGTTCTGCCAGCTTTATGGTGAAGCTAGAGGCCTTTGATTAAAAAAAAAATACATCAAAACTCTAAAATTCTCGACATATTTTTATCTGATTTCCTTATTTACCGAGTGTGTCTGAGTTGATCTCCGAAATATCCAATTTAAACGAGGAGCAACAAATTGTTCAATACCATAACGAGGGAGTCTAAATTTATTTCAAGTTCAAAATGTCTGAAAACTAAAGGATTTTAATTTGGTTCAGTCGGCTGAATGGTAAAGCTAGCAGAACCCACTTTAAAAAAACAGCACATTGAAAGTCGGCGATGGAGGTCATAGAAGCGTAAAATGAGGCTACAATTCTCAATATATTTTCATTTTGCCCATAGTTGGAAGAATGTTTTCGAAAAATTATTTCCGATTTTATCGCGCCTGTCGTAGTCACCGTACTATTCAATTCAAACGAGTAGCAAAAAAATGTAATATAATGAAGGAGCCTAAATTGAGCCAAAAATTATTTCAAATCCAAATTTTCCAAAAAGTGAAATGCAGTAGAGCGTTGAAAATACGAACGCCTCCCGAGGATTTTTTGAATACATATTCTTAACGATGAGCTAGGAAAACCCATGATATCTCCGGTAAATAAGGAGGCGGTAAACTCAGGAATAGAGTACAAAATTAGCCTAAAAATGAATATGAAAATTCATGGCATATTACTTAATACGTTGCCACAAAATATTAAAGAGCTTCATATTATACCATTCAAAAAATAAATAAAGGAGCTATTAACCAATAAGGGATATTATAGCGTAGAATAATTTTTAGAAATGGATACACTGTGATGATGATTATTGCTTTCACTGCATTTCATTTACCTCAGTTAAAGATCAATTGACGTTTATGTATATTTATGAATATATGTATGTGTTTTTTATTTTCTATATATAGTTAGCTACTTGTCGTAAGTCTCAGATATATATTTATACTATGGACCATTATTATTGTTTATATATTTGTTATATTTTTTTTTATTAATGACATGCCTGATATCATGTAAATGATCGAAAAGACAAATAATGTTATTATTATTATAAAGTGGTTCAGATAGCTTAACAGATGTGAAGTTAATATCATCCAAATTGTTATTATATTGAGCACAAATCAAGTAGAATTTAGTTAGTGTGAAAACGCTTGAGAAAGCTTTTGTATAGCGAAACANCTATTGAAGATTATGTTCAGAGGTCTTATTAAGTTTTCCATATAACCTTTGTAAAAGTAAGATGGAATACCGTCAACTCCAGTTGATGTTTTGGGTTTCAGGGATCTAACTGCTTTACAGATATCTTGTTCGGAAATTGATGATATACATAATTCTCACAGGTTGATCTCTAGTGAGAGATTGGTACCACCTGGAGAATCATTACTATAAACTGATTGAAAATATTCAGCAAAAGTATTAGCAATATCTTGGTCATCAGAAATGACTTCATCTTTATATCTGAAATTATTAGATATTTTGTAATCATTTTTTTATTGTTTATGTAATTCCAAAATTCTTTAGAGTTTGTTTTCAATACTTTGTATGTGAGACTAACATTTTTCATTGAAAAACAAAAACTTGTGTTTTTATAGAAATTGTTGAGGTTACCAAAATGGATTCAATGAAAATTTTACATATTTTCAACCAATCAACGAGAAAATATAATTTCTCACATTTGGCAGAAAGAACTCCCAAAGCCTATTTACTGAAGTTCAAGTGTACAACGGATAGTAGTTCCACTCACTTTCATATAAAATATTTTTCAAATTATAATTGAATACCAACAATTATATACTCCAAGCTGAGAAAATATTGAATATCCATAGTACTTCAATAATAAATAATTTATTTGTCAACTGGAAAATATAAAGAATCATTTATATTGAAAGGGTTATATTTTATTCCATAAACAATATAAGTTCTAAGTCATTCAGACTGTACATAAAATAAAACATGTAAGGTACCTATGCAATAAAAGAGTTACTTGATGAAATATGTTTCAGAAAACTCACTCACCCTCTATAAAATTTTTTTTGAAGCAGATTCATTTTCTGACTATATAGTCGGTGAAAATTTTCAAGCACATATGCCTTCCTATTCAGAAGAAATTCAGCCAATACATTTTTGACACGACAGACTTTTTAGAACAACTTCACCAAAACAACTACATTACTCTCTTATGGTCCTAGTATAACAAGCACAACGTCGAAGTTGAATAGTTTGAAAGTTTTGAAACAGGTGACATTGGCTCGTGAATTGTAGACCAAACAAATCAATTAGTAGTGATTTTAATTTTATAATTGAAATTATTCAAATGTACCATCGATTACCAATTATGTAAATACTATGACTGAACGTGAACAGAAAGTAGTTTTACCTCTCTTCTGTTTAAAGTATTGTTCAAACTATGATTGGATATGAATAATGTAAATTCTATGACAACACATCCGAATCGAAAAAATATTCTGAATTAATTTTTCAGTTTCTGAAACATCACCAATAATTCCTAAACTACTGACTCCATAAAAAAAATTCCAAGAGAAAACATGATTATTCCAAATTCTCACCATCATTTTCTTCTACAGTATTTACAAAAGAAGTGTTGTTTCGTTTTTCTTCTCAGCAGGAAATAAAGTATTAGTAAAAAAGTACAAGTTTTTATTTACAACTCTAAAAAAGACAAAATGAACTTCAAATTGAATCAATCCCATCAATCAATTACACTACACATTTTATACAATATAATAGCTTGTAGCGAGATTAACCTATTTAATGAAAAAAACCATTATTTTATCATATATATTGTATAATGTAATAAATTGATGGGTTTGTTTTGATTCAAAATTTATTTTTTTTAGAGCTAGTACAAAAAATATTGTACTTAAGGTTTTTTTCACTGTTAATTTATATTTTATTTATCTGTCCGCCATATTGGATTTAGAGTAAGTCATTTTATATTTCGATTTTCTCCAGAAAACCCTTTCATGTGATACCCATGTTATGGGGCAAATAAAAAAAACTAATTCGCCATTTTGGTCAGTACGCCAAATTGAATTAACATAAATGTCATTTATTTTAAGTATTCCTTTCAGCAAACTCCATTGATATCTATATCATGGAGGTTCATGAAAAACAAGTCCACCCTCTTGGGTAGTCTGCCAAATCATCAATTCCTTTCAGCAAATTCTTTCATTTAATACATATATCTTGGGCGTGCATAAAAATACTAGTCCATCGTCTTGAGCGGTCCGAGGTATTGGATGTAGAATGATGTCGCTTAGTTAATCTTTATCATTATCATCCAAACTAAATGTTGAGGAAAGTGCTTTAAAATTCAGTTGTAAGATTCTACCAGAACTGACACATACATATGTATCCAAAGCAAGTTTAATAAAAACTTAGAAAAAAGATTTGATGAGTTTTTTTTATATTTTGCAGTTTTTATTTCCAAGTTGTCTCCTATTGCCAAAAATTTTCAAAAATTAATAAATTTTTCAAGTTGAATTAATTTCTATATTATGATTTGTATGAGAAAACTTTTATGATCTTTTTTATGAAAATTTTTGAAATGAACATAATCGGTTCTATGACAATTTTGGATGTTTTCAAGTCTTTGAACGCAAAATGTGATTATTTTCAAATATTTTCAGAAGTATCTAACTGAGCCAAAACTGTAATCAAGTATTCTCCAAAATGAGCAGTTTTCCAAAACACCAGAACTGCAATATACTATAGTTGACGCGCGTTTCACCAAGCAAGTTGGTGTCTTCAGAGAATGAAGAAAACCCATTCGAAACAACTACCTTCAAATATTTGAACATTGACTTATAATGAAAATTATTTTTTTTCTATTTAGTTTGTACTTCAAATATTTGTTGTGAAATTGGAACAGATATTATTCACAGGAATGCTACACATATTATCTGTTTAAAATCTGTTTTTCCGTTAACCAGCTGTCGCACCTCTACAAACGACAACCCTCAGAAGTAGAAACTTGTGCGAGCTAAGGATTAACGAGGTCTTACCTTTTAACGTGTGATTCCTAACACGGAATAATTGAGATAAAATTTCACTTACATGAAAAAATGTCATCATCATGGATAACTTTGAAGACTCAACATCAATTAAGTATAAAATTAAGTATAAAGCTAAAGAGCTTTTTTCAAAATACTAATCTCTTCTGATTTAAAAAAAATTTTTCAGTAGTTTGTTTTTGGTGCTGACTTAATGACACATTTGTCAATGTTAATATTAGTAAATGTAAGTGAAATTTTATCTTGATACTCATTCATATATCACATTGTGGAGTGATTTTCATGTAACTCAAACCTTATATGTTTGAAGGTAGTTGTTTCGAATGGATATTTTCTTCTAGTTTGTATCTGAAAGAAACTTTTGTGCATGATCTAAACATCTTTTTGAAGACTTTATCAAAGTAAATTACTCTCTTTCCTAATTCGGAAGTTTCCCACATTTTTTTTATTGAGATGGAGAAGTAGAAAGCCAAAGAGATTTTTTCCAAAATACTAATCTCTTCTATCCTTTTTTCAATTCATTACTGCTTTATTTTTGATACTTCTTTCATGACATATTTGTCAAATGTCAAACTGTCTTTCAATCTTTCTTTGCCTTTGTAGTGCCCTACAATTTCCATCAAATGGAGTATGCTAGGTGTTGCTAGGAGATGTGTTTGTTTAGGTAGATGATTTTGTAAAAAAAAATATAATAAAGAATTAATAAAAACTTCAATCAAAAACGTATTTTAAAAGTAGTTTAAAAACTACAATTGGTGACCCCAAGAAGTGAATAGTTCTTACGCATTTGATAAAACCATGGTCAAGTTTATTCAAAACCTTTCGCGAGAACAGATAGTTAACCTACTTCAATGTCAATCTTGGTGGAACTGTTCCTGCCATGAAAATAATGCTGGAGGCTGAAATTCTTAAGGAGTATCCTGGAATGATAAATTCCCAAGACTTTGATTTCACAGAACTTCTTTGCAAAATCAGTAATCGGGAAAAATCTAAGGAATCCCAAGCAGAAGGTAGTGTTATTGAAAAGGTGAACAAGCTAGAAATTCTTTGTAATAAGCTGATTGAAAATCTCGAAAATAATAATAGGAGAATGGAAGGCATAGAAAAACTTATTCAACAAATGAGTAAAGAGTCTACACGTATACTTAGTTTAGATGATTTCGTAAAAAAATATAATAACGAATTAATAAAAATTTCAATCAAAAACGTATTTTAAAAGTAGTTTAAAAACTACACCTTCTTTTTACAAGTGATCCAGAGTTCGAAGACCTGGGGCGCCTCAAGTTTAAAACGAGAGCTAATCAAGGGAACATTGTAACCAATTATGAATTACAGCAAAAATTACAGAAGTTAGATTTCTTTATCAGTGGTTTTTATTACTGGAAAACACTCATCTTAACAAATCCAAACAGCTTGTGAAAATTTAAAATAGATATAAATTCCTCCAATTACCAATTGAGGAATTAAAAAAGTAGTTAAAATCTACTCTTTTTATTCTTATGCTGAATTTACTTGAAAGATCAAAAAAGAATTTCATTTAAATGACTTACAGCATTCAAACATATTCATACCATGATTAAAAAGTACCTATAGAGAATGAAAAATAATATCAACACTCACGACCTATATGGTAATAATAGTAGACTGTTTTTGTGAGGATAGGTATTTTACCTTTGAAATTTTTCCTCCCTTATATACGTAACTTCCTTCAACAGATTTGAATTCTAAATAACGCGTTACACCGGTATGGATGAGCAGTTTCACTAGGGAACCATTTGCCATAAGAAACTTTGGTATAAGATCCACATTCCAATCTCTTCCTCTACCGTACGATTCATCAGGAGCAGGTACTCCAAATTTGGAAAATAATTCTTCAAGAGGACAAATTGAAGCGGATTCGCCGCCGTAGTATTTGTTTCGATCGACGTGTAACACTTTCTTTCCCGATACAGACAACATACCACTCAAAATGCATTCCTTCAAGCCGGTGCCAAGCACAATCGCATCATATTCTTCATCCATTGTTTAAATTAATGTTTTACTCAGTTGAAAGTTATAATATAATATTTTATGAGCGACGGACACAAACAGGCTACAGTCTACTCAATAAAGGAGGAGAAAGACCTGTGACCAAACGCTCTAAAATGATCACACACAACTGACAGTGACAGTACTGACACCGGGACTGACATCTGACATTAAACTGACATTTTCACTTTTCACTACTTTCAAACTAGAATCCGAGAATACCTCGGATTGACTTCTTGACAGCGTTGCCAAGTGAAATTATCAACCCTTTCACAGTTTCACAGATGTCCATCGAATAGTCCGGGAGATAGATAAGTCAGAGAAATCTGTGAATATAGAAATACTTATAGAAAAGTATATGAATGTGCAAAAAAGATCCACCACCAAACCAGAATTTTGTAAGCAAACAATAAATCAAAAGAGATGTGGTCCAAGATTAATGATTTTAAGGATAAACAAAGAAAAGAACAAGTTGATATGCCAATAAACGCAGACAAACTCAAAAATTACTATTGCTCCATAGGAGAAAAATTACCAAAAAACATACATATTCCTTATAATCTGCTGACTCATTTAGAGAACATTTGGTCGCTGATAACTTTATTTTACACCCCACTGATACAATAAACTATGTAGATCACGGAATACTGATCAAAAACCTCTATCACTATGGCATCCTCGGAATCACTCACAAATGGTTAGAGAATTATCTCACAGGAAAAAGTCAGATTGTAAAAACCTCATCATCCTCATCAGAAGGCGAACTAAAAAATGGCTCACCACAAGGTTCAATACTGGGACCCATACTTATCTTATTATACATAAATGATTTAGCATCTATCGGTATGGAAGGAAAATACACCCTATTCGCTGATAATAATATTATGGCTTGTTCGATTGATGACCTATTTATTTTATAGAAATTCATATTGAATATAAAATGAAGAAAATAACTTTTGTCTAATTTCTACTGACTTAATCATTTGTTACGACCGGTTTCGGTTTCAAGTAAGTTGTAAGTAAATTGAAAATGTCTAATAAACCAAAACCGGTCGTAACAAATAATAAACTTTGTAAAAATTAGACAAAAGTTATTTTCCTCATTCTATGTACAATATTATGGCAAAATACAACCTTATGTATTCTCCACGAGATTATAAGCTCAGATATAAAAAAATTTAAAATGTTTCCAAAACAAACTTAACATATAATTCCACTGTTTTATTGACAGCATTCCATTAACAACACAGGACGCAGACAAGATGATTGAAAACAGAACTAGTTCTAAATTTTTGGGGGTAATAATAACTAATTATTGAAATGTTTCGATTCAGTACAACAATTAATTCTAACTCATATTCCAGTAGCCTCTGCTAATCCACCACGTATTTCGATACATGTGTCGTAGCGTTTACGAATGTTTCTGATTACGTTCCTTAGTTCTTGAGGACTAATATCTGCACTACCTGTCGAATTCTTGCACAGAGTTCATTTCTATCTCTTGAGCGGTTTTTGTAAACCTTATGTGTGAGAAGTCCCCAGAGAAAAAAGTCCAAAACTGTAAGGTCTGGAGATCTGGGTGGCCCCTCACGTACTACCACGGCCTATTCATCGGTTTGGAAAATATGTTAGTTAAGCCATTGCCTCACAGCTCTGACATAATGAACTGAACACCCATTAACTGGACAATTAAATTTGTTCGTTCATTGATTGGCAGCTCGTGAATAGCATCCCAAAACTCTGCGTTCAAAAATTCTAGAAACCTCTGCGCACTAATGTTTCCTCAAAAAAGAAAGGACCAATAATTCGTTCGTTCAATATCCCACACCAGACGTTGATTTTTTGGGAATACTGACTTTTACAGTTTATTACAATTATTACCCAGTTTGGATTATCCGCTGCCCAATAGCGACAATTCTGTGATGACACTACTCCATTTGTAGTGAAAGTGGCTTCGTCGGTATATAAAATATTTTTTAGGAAATTTCTATTGTTTAAATATTCTCCTTAGGCCCATAAACAATATTCCAGGCGTCTTGCTTCTTCGCCTTCTTCAAGTGTGTGTGAAAATTTTGGCTTGAAAGGTTTAATATTCTTCGCCTTGAGAAGAATATTATAAATATTGAGAAGAATCTCCGAATAGTTTCTCGTGGAATATTCAAATCTAAAGTGGCATTCCTTATACTGGCATTAGGATTATTTCCGACATAATCTAAAATGATTTGATCATTCCTGTTTCGTCTTTGTACAGGATTACTTTTTAACATCATTTTTGATACTGCACCAGTTTCATTGAATATTTTGTTTA